ATTGTGCTTCAGCGTTTGGCTTCCTTTGAAAGTACGTATGATCTTTCTAACATCCTTTCTAATGGACAAGAATGCAGAAACAAGTGCAACCCACATAGCAGGACCAATATGAGCAGCTTTTGCTTCATCCAAACCAGATTGGAACATAATGGATTCTCTAATTAGACCCCATATGACAAGTAGTATTCCAAAGAGCCCCATTCTCCCTGGTTTTATCAGACCCATAATTGCTCCTCCGACAGACAAGTAGCTTCCTGCTAAAACCTGTAGGATCAACCTAAATTCAACTGACAGCTAAACTTTTGGCATTTACTGATATAGATGCAGTTTTCCCCCTCAAAAAGTATATTTTTCTTTTACCATAAGCTTAGCCACTTTAGGCACAGATGAAGCTCTGTGAAATCACTAACCTCTAGGCGATGGAGATGATGTTGTGGTGGGGTAGTTTGTCTTGAATTGAATTTGTATAACTTTGAGGAGGTTTCCGAAGTTTGGGATGGTTTTGTTATTGTAAAGACCCTTTGCAAGAGCTCCTGGGTAGAGAAGAGTCTTTACTATGAAAGGAGGGAACACATCACTTGCAATTAACTGAGAAGAAGTGACTTCTACTGGGGTCTTACAGATTCCAATTCTGCATGGAACACTGAGAAGCAAACAGGGATAAAATGATTGTTATGAACCAAAATGTTTTAAATTATCAGCACAGCAGAGTTCGTGGGTAACATATAAAGCTTGTTCCCAGCATTTGAATTTGACATTTGAATGAACCTAGCGAATCTCCAGCATGTACTTCTTTGTTTGTTTATTTACTTTTCTATTTAAGAGTTCCATTTTCTGTAACTTTTTGCAGGTTTATTTATGATGCTACATTTATAAAGGATAAATACTAAATTATACATCAGAAAGAGCGAAACATGATTTCTAAACATCGAATCGTCTCTATGGAAATTGGAAAGTCCTCATTTCCAGGAAAATGATTCAGGATCTCATTCTGAGAGTTTGCAAAAGCGAAAGATAAAATCCACCACCAAAAAAAAAAAAAAACGTAAGATGATAAAGAAGACAAGTAATAAAATGTGGCTACGTCAAACTCAATTGCAACCTCCGACACTACAAGAATGATTACATAAAAAGAACACCACAAATCTGAACATGTTCGCTCAAAATCTTAATTTTTCTTTCGTTTTCCCCCTTGTTTCTCATTCTCAACTTGTACAGCTGAACCGAACAGGGAATTTCCAAACGAAGTTTTGGGGCATATTGATATGATATTGCCTGGGTGACATAAAAATGGGGTCGATAAAAGAAGTGTTACCTGAAAATTGGGACTTGAAGATGATGACAGCGAAATAAACTAGAAATGCTAAGGAGCATATTAAGTTAGCACATTTCCTTGTTGAAGACAGACATGGCGGCAAATCTTTAAAGAGGAGGCCCCAATACCCCATATGATGAGATAGAGGATGGAGACAGGGATACACAAGTTTGAGTTTTACATGTTCTATCTTACCGCGGGGATAACCCTATTTTCAATACGAGAAAATGAAAACGAGCAATCCATCGAATTTACGTGCGTTATTATACCAGATTACTGCAAGATTTTGTTTTTATCACTAGTATTTTTTCCCCCATTATAATATCAGGAAATCGTAATCAGAGTGCATCATTCAAGGAGCTGCTTAGTACTTTTCAAAAACAGTGAATTTCTATTTTAAGACTAACTCAATTCAACCGCCTTTTTCTCCACAAAAATCTCCTCCCTCCAATTCCCAAAGAACGCATGGGCCCTTAATAGACCCCACCTTTATTCATTAAAATTACAAATGCTACCACTAAAATACTACATTCACCTCTGCATTCTTTTTTTTTTTTTGACAATTACATCATTAATTAATAATATATCAAAACTCCAGGAGTTAATTTTGAAAACCAAGTTTTAATGTTTTTCCAAATTTTATATAAATGTAACGGTGAAGCCACGCCGTAGGGAGGGGGTAAATCCATCCCCTTCCTTTAAAAAACTGTCAATTTAAAATCTAAATTGCATTATTTCACATTCATATCCTTAAATTTTAACAAATCATTTAAAATTTTGCACCTCCTCACCTAAGAGCCTCGGCGCCACATTACTTGAATGCTTAGGGTATATATTTTTGTATAATCAAACCTCCAAAAAGAAAAAATAATAAATATATAATTTTAATAATATTAATAACATAAAAGATGTATTATTTGATCTGAAAACAAAAGTTATCATAAAAAACTACTAGCTAGTTATCATATTATTGGGTAGTAAAAGCTAGTTGATCATAAATGAACTTATATAGTCCCTCTTGAGTACAAAAATAGCGACATGCCACCTAGTTAGAAAAGAAATTTCGTGTCCAAAATAAAGGATCAGAAATGGGCAAAAAGAAAGTTTCCATTTGGATGGGAAGGCATAGCTTGGTATGTAATTGAATGGTGGCCACTATTTGAGGTGTACACAAGGAAAAAGGCAGAGAGGCCACCCATATTACTTTACAATTTCATGCACTATCAAACCTTCATCAGACAAATTATGTTGCCTTCTACAAGTCAACGAACTAACTAAAATCCCATGTTGTTATAGTGCTTTCACAAGCTCTGGGCCACTCTTTCATACAAATCACGAGGCCAGTTCCTTTTCAAGTTATTTGCAATGAAGCTGGCAATCTGCATCAGGGAGATTCAATCATTAGGAGACTAGAACTTCCATTCACAAATGAAATATTAACTAGCAGTTTAACAACTCAATTGGATGCGAATAAATAGCTAACCAACTGCTTGACATAAGAAGATCATTTTTAATATTTCAAGAAGAAACTATGGAAGCTTGATAAAAAAATTTCCACGCTTTTGCTTGTCATCGAAAGCATGAATGGAACATTGAGTATAATGGATAGGCATGTAAAATACTATGTCACAATTAATTTTATACCTCACTGTATAGTTCTTTACAAAACTTTGATATGGTGCTAAATTTTGTATCAAATTAACTAAACTTTCATTATTGTCATTTTCTTTCTTTTCTTGCATTAACATATAAACAAGGACATATATTTTCTTCTCCCTACTCTTTACTCAGCAATACAATACTACTGTATCATTTTTGCAAATAACCAAAAACAAAGCCCCTAAACACCATAGCTGTATTAGACTGTCGACACACGTTGCAATTATACAAAGAAATCAGCAAGATAATACAAGATTCTTCTCCTTTTCAATACATACCTTAGCCCTTAAGGCACGAAGTGATCCATCTGTGTCTGTCACATTGTCCAGACAAGTGAGAGCAACTTTCAAAAGATCCGGAATACAGGCTTGTACATGTGGAGATAAATTATCAAACACATCGACAGCGATATCAGGACCTCGAGGATCTAGAGGGAGAAATGGGAGTTTAGCAACCTCCCTTAGTGCATCCACATAATTCCCTGTTCTTGACAACTTGTGAATTGACAATATTGCCTCAAGTTGTCTTAACACAGTTTGCTGCGCAAAAACATAATCTCTCTCTTGAGGGCTGCAGAGGGAATTCAATTAATCTTGGGACACATGTTAAATAAAAGAAATGTCAAGATATAGAATAGTTAACAACCATTGATCAAACGAAATAAATTCAAAGAGTCAAAACCCAAATTCCTAGTCTCATAATTCATTTACAGGGAACATCTTAAACACCTAGTATTCTGAAAGCTTCGGCAACTAAAACAATAATCAAAACTGCCCATTGAGATTTCCAATAGAACAGACTTAGATTTCATCATTGAAATATAGCCCATCTAGCAGTGGTATAAATTTTATTTTATTTTATTTTATTTTTTGTCAAATGAGTTTTTGCAACTCAAAATTGTTTTTGTACGTGAAGGTAGTGATAAATTGGTATCCGGCTTGAATTTAGAAGCATAGAAGCTAACATGACTCGTTTCAAAGTTCTTACATAAAAAACATGCCTGCATAACATATTAGATAACCAATTGACCATGCTAATAGATACCACAACACCTAAACCCAAGCATAACCATGCATAGAACAATGAGATAGGACAAAAGTCCCAACATTACCTGACACGTGGATAGTAAGTGTAAGTATCCAAAATTTCATTGCCAGAATGAATGAGGCCAGCAGTCCTGCTCTCACCATCTATTCTACCACGGAAAAGAGCACAAATAGCTTCAGAAAGGCACTTATTAATGGTATCCAGCGCTGATGAAAAGGCACCCACTCTCTTCTGAATTTCTATTGACTGAACACCAGAAAAATAAAAATAAATCCCAAATAAGCATAACCAACAATAGGATTGGATGAAAACCCAGTGATCCAGGAAAAAAAGGGTTACAAAATAAGGAACATATATTAAAAACGGTTATAAACAATGAAGGTAAAATAAGTACAAAAAAGATCATCAGCAAGACTTGTCAAGGAATCAAGATGTAATATAAAAGAAAGAAATTACTTTGTCAAACATCCCAGCCTCCTCACATTGGCAAGCAGCCTCAATTAAAAATTGCTCCCTTGATTTTGTATCAGTCACGAAACGGCCCAATTCACCTTCTTCTCCTGCACCTCTTGCACCAAGCAAAAGATATATGCCACCATCCCTTAACAGAAGTTCAGTTAGGAGTTGCTTCAGCATCAAACTTCTCTGCCTTTGCTGATCAATACTACCTCTACCGGTCCATGACATCTGACCACCACCCACAGAAGCAGCAGCTTGAGCATAATATTCTAAAGCCATTTGGAGATCACCAAGACGTAAATACATAGATCCGTACTGCATGATTATGCTAGAAACTTCCGCACAAGCATCCATCACCCCCAACTTTTGCCCAGCTACTGTACCTTCTGATAGTACCCCATGATCAGCCAGCACAATTGATACGTGGGCAGCATCAATGTTAAATCCTTCATCTCCTGTTTCCTTAGACATGTATAATACTGCCGGAAGCAATTGGATGCTCAAAAGCAAAATGTAAGGATATACCAGAGGATCTTTTCCATTTTTCGTATAGTATGATGGCTCAAATTTATTCAGGTATGCCTGCAAATCGTCTAAACTGTATGGTACCAAACCATCACTTAGAACAATGGATGTTGATCCACTAGGGCAGTCCCGCACAGCTGACAATTTAAACCACAAGAAATCCTCGATGGTACTAAAGAGAGTTGGTTGATCTCTAAGCAAGCGATCAATATGTCTACGGGATCCTGATATGATGGCATATAGCAGTAACTTTTTCTTATCATATGCAGCTCGACCTATGCGATCACCAGTCCTCAACATTCTTTCACATTCATCTGATGCAGCAGTTGCAATCTCTTCTGGCACCATACCTCCAGTATTGATCCACTCTGTGAGCTGTCAAAAGAATGAATCACTGAGAAAGATTCCACTATAAAAAATAATAGAAAAAAAAGTGACCAAAGTCCATACCAGTGGAGCAAATTGATGTGATGCACGGGAAGAGAGGGCAACATTTCTTGCTTCATCATAATACCCAGACCTCAAGCAAAAATATATCTGCCAACAAAATCAAGTCATTCAAAATAAACAGGGCACGAGAAAATATTAAAGCTCATTCCAAGGGAAAGAACATGTATAAGCATTAGATCTAGCACGTCCATTAAATTAACAGAGAAAAGAGAAATTAAAAATGTATCATTATTCCCAATTTCTTTTTGTTTGATTTGCAATTACAAATCAGTTACTGTAAATGCATTTAAAAAATTAACTTAGATTGCTCCAGCATGTGAAGGAAGAGACTAGTAAAATGAGCACAAGTCTCGAGTTGTCTGAGGAAAAATGAAAATATGAAGGGCTAATCAAAATATTAGTTTGAGAAGCCTTCCTGCATTATTAGCTGCTGACATACCTTTTCCCATACAATATGAATAACGCAATACCAATACAGCATCAGAATTCTATAAAATATGACAATACAATAATGCCCATCAAACTAGTCATATAGATCGAGCACACCACTTTAACTCTCCTACTACTGGATATCTCAACATATATAATTCTCGTGGGAGTTATTCATGAATTAAAATATGACATTCAAGAAGCCTAGCAGCAAACACCAAAAGTAAAAACACAAGGCCTCACTCAAATTATGTTTCAGTATACTGTATAAAGTGTTTAGCATTTGTAATAATAAAGGTTACAAACTAAATTACTAATTGAAGAGGGAAACCAAGATTTTTATTTAGGCCCATCATAAATGTTAATTTAAAAAAATAAAGAGAAATTAATCAAATATATTAGTAAGCTGTGATTAATTTCAAAACAAAAACATCAACGATAAGAAACAAGGAAATATAACTAAGTTCATAGAAAAATATAATAAAATAAAGTTTTCAGCACCTGCTGCCATGTGGTATCAACAGGAGGCTGCCTCCGAGCATCACCAGCATCAAAATCCAGAACTCCATAATCCCTTAACCGTATCTGCTCAGCAACAGAATATGAGTTTAAAAAGGAAATGAAGACCTGCAATAATATTGGAAAATATGCATATAAAAAACAAACCCGAAGGAAGGCCCGGATTCTCTGCAAATTACCAACACCACCACCAAGAGCAGCCTACAATAAGATCAGAAGGCATGCAGAAAATTAGTTCTGATAAATGGATGCATATTCATAAACTCTCTCTCTCTCTCTCTCTAATATGAACAGAGAACAAGCAGAGAGAGCAAGAAAACTAGAAATAACTGGAAAGCCTTTCAATGTCTTTCTCAAAAGTAAAGTTCTCAAGAGAATGCCAAAAGAAAGCCAGAAAAAAGTTATCTAATTCTAATCAAAACAAGTAACATAACAAAACAGGGAGAATTAATCTACAGGTCCTTATAGTTTTTCTCAATTTTGAATTAGGTCCCTATAATTTATTTTATTTTAATCAAGCCCTTATAGTTTGATCTACTAAATATGTTAATCCTTGAAGGTTAAAATTAATAATGAATTAAACAATTTTAGAGTTTATAGAAAATTTAATTTACTACTTTTAGCAAAAATCGAAAAAAGAAAATTTAATTTAACACACAGTCTAAATTTCTATTAATTTTTACGAAGATTCTTTAAATAAAAAAAAATATTTGAAAGACAGCCTAATTATATCATTTTTGAATTATAAAAATTATGTAATTAATTCTAAAGTTATATAATCATTTAATAAAAATATAAAAGTTCTTAATTTTGTTTTTTAAAGAAAAAATTCAAGGATTTTAATTTTCAGGTGTTAAAAAATTTAATTGATCAAATGATAAGGACTCAATTAAAACAAAATGAACTGCAAGGACCTAATTTAAAATTGGAAGGGGGAAAAAACTATAAGGACTTGCAAATTTATTTTCCTTAACAAAATATAAAAACATAAGCATGCAGTCAACACCAATCTTTTTAAATTACTCAATTTAAAATTACTTGCGCGGGATGACTTTGTATGGTATCCATGATGTACTTCTCATGGCCCCATTCAAGGTGGCGCCTCGCACCAATAATCAGTGACATCCTTCTTGAAACACGCTGTTGCAATGCTGTATCTTCATCCATCAACATCTGTTTCATTGGCAAAAATTATTAAGGAGAAAAAATAATAACTTCACAACTAAAGTCAAGAAACTAAATGTAAAGATTTTTCTGTTTTTTATTGTTGCAATATGCAACCATGAGTACAACCTGAACAAGGTGCCATATCTTCCGCATGCTAACTGATTTTCCACCACTTGCATCTATATTTAAACTTTCATAGGCACCCTTGAAAGCTGCAGCAGGCTAGTCACCATTCAAAGGAATCAAAAGTGAGAAAAATTCCTATAAAAACAAACTACAAAGTATGAAAGTACACACAGCGCAGCAAACAAAAACCTTGGTTTACCATACCCAAGAAGAGCAACAATGAACATGCAGAACAGACAAAAGGAAAATGGAATGGTAAACATCTCAAAACAAAAATACGAGTAGATTGACAACAGGCCAGACAAGCAATTAAATTTTTAAATATGCATTGTCATATAGGTCACTAGTTAATATATTATTCAGCAAGAAATAAGTTGATTGTTAAACAGACAAAGTGACTGCCCAATGAGCAACTCCAGCCACACATTTTTTAAATATAATGCAGTAAAATATCACTCCAAATTAAGGAGTTTCAGAAAGAATGGGCCTTACTTTGAATGGTAATCCACACTCCCTTGCCTTATTCAGATTTTTCACTACTTCAGCATAGACTGCTGCTTTTTTCTCCACAATAGGCTTGCTAGCAAGAGGAACAATCTCCATGCTGGTTATGCCAGACGATGCTTGTGGACTATGGGAAGCCATTGACTGACCTGGACGGGTACCCACATTGCTGGTATCAATCCTGTTTGTCCTTGGTAATGTTGAAATTCGGCTTAAACTCTGAAGGAAATCACGTTTTTCTTTTTGCCAATCCTCCTGCCAAAGAATAAATTCCACCGAGCTGTAAGAAGACTGGGCATCAAAATGAACATTCCATTCATGATTACTCCATTAGCAGTTATTTTATAAAAACCAATACATCAACCTACACCAATCATCAATGCAATATGCAATAAAATATCTGTTCCATAATGAACCACATATAACAACAACAAACATTATCTCGGATCAGTTAACAAGGATCGCATGATGCTATTGTGCTCTATGATCAATCAATTTCAAAATGTTTCATTCTTCCTCCAAAACAAAATGGATACAATGAAGGGGAGGGAGAAAGAGAAAAGGAGTCAGAGATAGAAAGAAAGAGCAATAAAATAAAGAAAATTGAGGTTGAGAGGGAGAGGCTAAAAATTACTCAAACTCTATTCAATTCATCAAAAAAAATCCAACCGAAGAAATCCAAGGACTATATACGATTAGTTAAAATAATAAAAATCTTAACAGATCCTAGATAACATAAGATAATTCCTATACATGATCCAAACTAAATTTATTTCAAAAATAATTTGAATCCCAATTTAAACCAAAAATCCTAACTTTTAAAATAAAGAAAAAAGTAAAATTAATTATTCCTAGATTTTGCCTAATCACAGGATTAGTTTAGATTTTTATTATTTGAAATAAATGTACTGAAGACTCTATAAAGTATAAACAGCCCCAGGGTCTCCTCAATTGTTAGGCCTTCTTGATGATTGAATAAAATTGAGAATTTTGGTTTTCTCTCTCCCTCAATTCATCCTTTTCTCTCGATATCTCCCTCCTTTCCTTCTCTATCTCTCCTTCTCCATTCACTCCCATACATCACCAAAAAACAATGACTATTTAGTTACAATTTAAACCCTTTCATTAAACCAGTTCACAAGTCAAATTAAGAAGAATAAAATCAAAAGCATATTTTTCCACTAAATTAATGGCTATGGCAAGACGATAAAGCTTGCTAAATCCTGTTTTAAGATATCTCCAGTGAAATGTATATACACCCAGCTCTAAATTACAGAAACAACAATACAAAATGAAGAAGTATCAGAAAAGTAAATAAAATGAAAGGCAATACCACACTAACCTCTAAAACTTTCATCATATAATCATTAAAACTTTTGAGATTATCCTTCTGAGCTTCCTGGATGGCAGACACCATAGCCATTTCACGAACCTGAGGGGAACAAAGTATACAATATTGTCAAAATTCCACTCATTAAAGGTTTAGATGCAAGAAATGTGAAAATAAAGAGTCAAAATTACCTGCTGCAGATACTCTTCAACACTTGTGGCCTCCGCAGGAAAAACATCCTCAAAAGTTGTCTTCAAATAAAAATAGAAGAATTAATTGATAAAGAGTACAACATCAGCAAAATGCACCAAGGAAAGCAACTAGAAAGAAGTCTTGAACTTCAAGGTGAGTACTACTTTTGCCATGAAATAAATATATCAAAAAAATAATAATAAGGAAGCATGTGTTGTGCAAACCATAGATGTGTAGAGATTTAAAAAACAGAACATATAAAATATCTGTAAGATGTGGAATAACAAGAATTTTATACTTCAGACAAAGAAAAAATTGTTAATGCAAAGTGACAAAATAACAAGTATTGAACAGTTTAAATAGAGAAGCATGAAGATGTATACAACTATTGTTTACCTTCAACTCAAATGACTTCAGATCCCGTGCAAGCTGCTCTGCATTTATCCCCTCACGTGCAAGCAGCCTGTCACCGCAACAGAAATTGAAAAGGTGCCCTCATAATAAACCAGATATGTATAAGCATGATCTTTCTGCATTAGATGAAATGAAGGGACTACATATTTTGAAATATTTTTAACAAATCAGAGAGCTCCAACTTGCATCTTATAATAATTACCCTACACTTTCTAAGTAATTGAACTATTTGCACTTATAACCAAATTGCCAAAAAAATAATCGAAGTACCTTGTAGCAGCTATAGATTGAGAAGGCGCCTCAGTCCTTAGGGTCTTGGATTTGAGCTTCTTGGATAATGCTTCCAATTGATCTAAGTTCCTCTGAACAAGAAATTAAAATGAATTCAAATTGTAGAAATCCAAAAAACTGAATTTTATCAGCGAACTTCAATTTGAAATCGGTGACAAATCCAGCTAGAAGGGATGAATCTTATACATATACTTGTTTGAATCGAAGCTATTTCAGTTCACAGTCAAAATGCAAGCAATTAGATATGCATATACATTCAACATGCATGCTTGGGAACATTCCATACGAGTATTAACCGGAGTTTCAGCGTCTTTACTTTAGATGTCCCGGCCACCCAACTTAAGCCAAACGGAACATAAATACGATAAGTGTTGTATCAGACTCATAGTAAAGAATTGATTTGCCAAAGACAGGGACACTACTCCAATTTTTTATCTTCGTTCGCCGAGTAATGTATGAGGTAGCATAGAATTTCAGGTCTGCCAGGCATAATGTGATGAAAATTTAGGGCAATAAATAGTAAAAGTAGCAGGTTGAGCTACTCTAATTTTATTCTACTATCAGAAACTAGGCACAGACTAAAGCGTCACATGATTGCTAGCTAACTCCCCAGATTGTAATTGGAGCATTGAATCAGGAAGCGCAAAAAATTGAGAATCTTAATTCAAAATGCACGATTTTTTGACCAAGAAGATTATATCACTCATATATCACTTAACCGCTCAAGGCAGCTAAATCACCGAGTCAACAATTGAATGGGACTCAAGACCCAAAGACATGGTAGTTTGATACTTCTCTAGCCATTTTTTGCTTACGTCATCGATAATCAAACAGAAAGTAAAAGAGCGGAGACGAACCTGGAGGGGAGGGAACTGAGCAGAAGGAGCAGCTTGTTCGAGAAGCTTCGTGGAAGAATGCAGCAGATCAGTCCAACCACTCATGTCTTGGTCGTTCGCCATGACTCCTGCCGAGGACCAATGTCACCGGCACAGAGAGAGGGAGAGGGTTTTAAATTTCCTTTTTTTTATTTTTTTTTTGGCTCTAAAGCCCTAAAGTTAAAGTATGCTCTAAAACTCTGGAATGTGGAGTGACTTCACCATGGCGCAGGACACTGTCTGCTGGGTTCCTTTTATACCCGACCCGTTTGTTTTCCTTGGTAGAGGGGTTTGATAGGCTAATACCCGGAATACAACCCCCATGCAATGAACGGGAAGAATTAAACGGCATAATCTATATATATATAATAGAAGAATAACAAGCACATCTCTATGAATGACAAGTGTCATTTTTTTTAAATAGTACAATTTCAAAAAGCCATGTAAGATTTTATTTACAAAATTATTTTTAATTCATGAATATAATTTATTTTTATTCCTTTATTTCAGTAACTTCTTAACCCATGATCTAATAACTTCCTAACCCAATGATTCCTCTTTCAGATATGGTCAGTTATTCAGTATTATATCATTCTAATAGCAAATTAATATAAATAAACAAATAAAAACTGAATTATAAACGTATGACTTAATAAAATAATTACATTAAATTCTTTATATGTTATTAATTAATATAATTCTCATTTATAATTTAATTAAATATATATGATTTATGAATTGAGTAATTAACAGATAATTTCCTAATCCCACGATTCCTCTTTCTGTGAAAAAATACTGCCCAATTTAGTAATATTTCAAATACCTTGATTCTATAAAGCCACGTAGGATTCTGCTTCCAAAATTAATTTTAATCTGTGAACATAATTTTATTCCATTAATCCTTCATTCCAACAATATCCTACTCTGATGGTTATTTAAACTTTGGTTCGTAATATTCTAATCAATTCCTAACTCCACAATTCCTGTAGGATTTGGTTTAATTTAATTTTTAATTCTTATTTCATATATATGACTACATCTTATAATTTAATATAAAATTCTCTTTTAATTAATTCAAATTAACTTGAATTGATTCTATACTTTAGATTAGATTTAAATGTTAGTTGGTAATATCCCAATAAATTCGTTACTCCACAATTCAAGTTAGATTTTTTTTAATTTTTTAATTTTCATATATAAGTGGATTTTATAATCAACTAATGTCGGGATCATGGTGCTAAATTAATACAAATCACTTTGAGTTATTGATTCTAAATTTTAGATTTTGATTTATATGTGACTGGTTGAATTCCAATAGCTTCCTAGACTCCACGATTGATGTTTGATTCAATTTGGGAGTTTTTCAAATTCAAGCATATTATTGCTATTTATAAAAAAATTATTAATGTAATTTTATCTATAAAATTATCAATTTGGGAGCCAACTATAATTGATTAAATTAATGTATTTTATTAAAAATAATATAATATCATGATCCCCATGTTGCTTGATTTAATATATACCATACCCTCCTAATAATAGTGATCCCTATATTTTTGGAATTTAATTTAAGAAAGAATTTCCTAATATAAATTCCTTCTAACGACTAAGATTTGGTGTGTATTTAAATTTTAAAAAATTTTTATAAAAAATTATACCCATGTCATTTTAATATTTTTTTAGAGATAGTGCAATTATTATATCAACTTTATCTTATATAATTAATTAATTAACTGTTAATAAATGCTTTTTTCTATACATGTATTTACATTTCACAAGAATTGGGTAGTTACATATTTATTTGACTATATAAATTTTAAAATTTTTCCATTTTTGAGTCAATTATATATCTATTAAATGTGGTGCCTAATAATGATTAATCTTATTAAATATGGTTTTATGTACATCATTTATTTCTAATTGCATAATTTCTTTAACAAATATTTTTGACTATATAATGATATTATTTCTCATCATCAATCAGCTATACATTTAAATAAAGTGAATTTCCCATGTTCCATTATCTCCCCTCTCTCATATAGTTGTAAACGTGGGTGTTTATGTGATCGTGTGGGTTGTTGGAGATAAAGATAGCAAGTCTCATATATAAAAACTGAGTGAGTGCACTAATGATTGCAAGAACTTATTATTCTTCAATACTCACCGTGAATCCATCATTTTCTGACATTGATGAGTTATTCAAGAAAGCTGCCTTGCTCGCCATTGAATACTCCAAAGCATCTCCTATATGGTGGTGTCCTCCTCCAGAATTTGTCGGCACTACCACTGTGAAGAGGTGCTTGAACTAGAGTCAAAGATAGTTTGACTTCTCATCTCTTATAACATCTGATGGAGTGAAGAGTGAGGCAGTAGAAGCAAATGATGAACTTGACAATATTGGTGGTCTTATAGCATCTGATGGAGTGAAGAGTGAGGCAGTAGAAGCAAATGATGAACTTGACAATATTACTGGACTTGTAGCATCTGATGGAATCAAGAGCGAGGTGGTAGAAGCAAGTGATGAATCTGCTGATAGTAGTAGTCCTACAACATGTGTTCCATTTAGGCGCTCTAAGAGAACCAAGAGTATGCCATTTTGGATGATGGACTATTATGTATATATGTGATGTATGTTTAAAATTTAATTTTAATTATGTTTTATTTGCAAATTATGTTTAGTAGGCTATCGAACATCTTGTAAGCGAACTCTTTGTGTGTGTTGGTTATATATTTCTATATATTAATTTGGTTGATTTTGCTAGGTGTGTGAATGTCTATGCTAATATGCACTACAAATATATAATTTATGAGATATTTATTCTGTGAAATTAAAGCTTTTATTTTGTGCGTGCACATTATCATGACAGTTAATGGAGACATTGAGGGGATGTGGGTCGCACATTGAGACTTCATGGGTTAAGGAAGTTAACCTGATGTGGCACTTAAAAGCAGTAGAAAAAAAGTTCAAGTTATGAGGTAAATGTGCATTGAAAAATAAAAATCATGGAGAATATGGTTATATAAATATAATAAATATATGTGTAAATAAAATAAAGAGATATATAATAACAGATATATTCATCTCAACAAACCATGAAATTTAATTAAACAACATATTTTTTATTGGCAAAATTTAAACAAAATATATTTATTATAAATTAGTAATTTTAAATTATAGTCAAATTAGCTGCCACGTTTTTTGATATTTTGCATTATTTTTAAAAATTTTATTAAATCATCATGGGCACCTTAGTAACCACCTTCGGAGATAATATGGCCATGTTGTGAGTTGGCTATTAGCCACACAAGCGCTTCTTCCTTCGTCTTCTTCTCCTTCTCTGGTATTTGTTCATTATAACCTTTTAACCACCATTTCGCCTTCCTTTATTCATTACTGTAGCATTAAGTTTGTATTTTCAACATGAATAAATGTGTGTTGGTAAAAAAAAAAACATGAATAAATGTGAAATTTAAACTTCATGTACCAACACTTTTTTTTTTTGAAAAAAAAATCATTTGGCTGGTTTTGATAATCATTTTCATCATTGTGTTGTTGCTACGTGTGAACTAGAATTCTACATGTTCAATGAATCAAAGAATTGCCTATAGTAACAAGCATCTAAGCTATTATATTAGATAATTGGAGGTATACATCATTTAGCTTCTTTAATTTTGTATAATACTTTATATGAATAACCTCTTCAATCCTATTAAATTGTAGCTTATGGAATTTTTTCTTGAGAAAGATTATTATGCTATATATGTTATCACAGTTAAAATGGGTAAAAGGAAATAGACGAATGCATCTCTTGATTCTGCTTGCAACAAAGGTTAGTTTTCTATTTTAACCTTTTTCATAGATGGACATATATAAATATAATTTGTGAATTAATTGTGAAATTATATTTTAAATTTTGAGATCACAGGAGAGAAGTTATATTTTCAAATTACCGTCTTATAAATTGAGAAAAAATAAATTGATTCACAAAATTGTGTTCTATTAATTCACACGATTATAATAACATTGGTATAAAAAAATAACTAATAATTTAATTCAATTTTAATTTGACTATTGATATGATTTAATTTTCAAGAAAATGATCTAAATTATTATTCACAAAATTATTATATCAATTCAAAATTACTCGCGAAACGACAATATTCAAAAAGTTATATTTGAGATCAATATCAAGGATAAAGAAGGAAAGCGGTTTTTGGTAATTTTAAAAATAATAATTTTATATAGGAATAGGTATTATTTATATAGATATATAAAATATTTTTAAAATTAAAATTTTAAATTGTTCATTAATTGAGAAATTATTTCAAATTAGAATCTTTTAATTTGAAAAAAATTATTTATTGGCATTCACTTGTCTTTTCCACTTTTTTTGGGGAAGTAAATAATTCTAAAGATAATGAAGATGTAATTAAAATATTACCTAAAATTAAATTGTAAAACGCTTTTTAATTTGCCAGATATTCTCTTCAGTCTAATGTCATATAAACGTGTCATACTTCACTATTGTTTTCTTTCTTCCTATGTTCAAGAATATCACATATTTTATATCCCAACACTGCAGGCCACTACTTTTTTATCTTTTACAAATAAAGTATCTTTTCATAAATTTTAAATTGATATTGTTATATATGTTTTTGAACAATCCCGTTTTTTTAGGCAATGCTCCTTTTGGAATTTTGGTTTTTGTAACAAATTTCACCTTAATTTTTCAATTAGATCATTGAATATTCACTCGACAATTTTATCTTTAAATAGTGAAAAAAGAAAAACAATGAGACTAAAATATTAATTTATCATTTGTTTTAATTTTAATGTTTGAATTTTTGAATTTAATTGCTGGGTATGACTAACTTTTCCATTTTAATCTTTCTTTACCTCAAAAAATATCACATCATCTAAAATTGCGAGACAACAATAGGTTTCTATCTTAAAAGAAAAAGAAAGCAAACAACGAGGACATTTATTGCTAGGAATGGCATAACAAGTGAGGCCTTTGGCTTAAAACTTCCTGTCAAATCCTTTTGTATTATATCCTTGCTCCGTCATATGCTTTCAACTAATTTATTTGAAATGTGAATATCTTGCACATTTGTATTTATACTTCTTCCTCTTCATCTTCTTTGATGTAAGATTCAGTGCAACCAATCAACAAGGAAAAACCTCCAACGAGCATTTGTAGCCACTC